ACAGACATAAAAATTATTTAAATAAACCAGAACAAGTCACTTAAGTATTTCATTGTTTGCGAAGTAGTTTATATGCAACAGTGGGAGGCAGAGGAAAAGTGTTTGCATAGAAACTCCTAAGAAAGCCCATTATATGGCACTTCCCAACAAACCCCAGGCTGTTATCCCAGCTGTAATCAGTCTCATTGTGCAACAAACACGATCAAAGGGAAAAGATCGTGAACGCTCCCATACGAGAAAACCCTTGGCCACTGAGCAAGGAAATTACCCGGGCAATATAAGGTATCGCTCATCTCGCTGGCTGTCCTTGAGAACTAGACCATGGCATACAGGAAGATAAAAACAAGCTGAGAATACGGAATTAGTAGATGCTGAACCTTTTTTTTTTTTTTTTTTTTTTTTTTTTTCCAGATAGAAAGCATTTTCCAGCTCAATTTAGACCATTTTTTTCCATACTTAAAAAAAAAAAAAAAAAAGTGGTAAGAAAAAAAATCTCATTTCATTTCTAGTTCACCTACAAAACACTATACAGACATTTCTTAGAGTTAAGAAGAGAGATTGGAAGTTTCTCTTTATATGTATTAGTTAATCATATTTAGTGAGGTAAAGGGAAAAGAAATATTGGTCTTGACACGTGCTACTAAAACCTCTAAGCTAAATAGTTGTAAATATACATTATAAATAGATATCCCACAAGCACAATGGATGCATGTTACTTTATATGAGCTATTAAAGGACTAGCCTGAAAATATGCAGACTTTAAGACCATGTTTTAAGAAATTCTAACCAAAAACACATGCAGAGTATGCATTGTAGCAGATAATTGCACATCGTGAAGCACAGCTCATACAGAAAATAGAAACGGTGTAGCAACATGCGTTTTTTGTCTAATAGAGAAGCCCATGTATTATAAAAATACTTCCCAGTTTCCTTCTAAGAAAGCTAACTTTTTAGGCACTACAGGTCACTAACCTCTAGAAACTCACTAATCTAATCTGCAGTGTGTAAACACACATGAATTTACAAGATCCAAGAGAATGCTATTTTTAACATCTTCCCTTGTCCAAAACATCAGCTTGCTAAAAAAAGAAAAAGGAACAGCAGCCCACAAATCTCAGAAAAAAAAAACACAAAACCCAAATGCTCGTCCTCTCCAGTCAACAATTCTTTCTCATTTCCATCTTTCATCTTCCGAAATCTAGGGAGGCTGTATTTTTTTTCCCAGGATACTCAGCAATTCAGTGCAAAATGAGAAAAGGGGTGATCTCTTTCCTTTAAAAGACTGCTGACAAACTTTGTTTGGCTAAAGGGGACATTAAGCACTTTCTTTAGCTGAGATTTCTGCTGTTTTTAATAGGAAGAAACCTCAGCTGTCTGATCCACTTTTCCTTTAAGATCTTGTATGAAATCATTACCTGTTGCGTGTATGTACAGGGGAACAAAAGCATTTAAGTATAAGCTGCTGCTTTTCAAAACCCCGTTCTTTACTGGTCTGAGATGACTAATGGAGCTATAAAACTGCACCATCAATCCAGGAATCATGAATATACCTTAGTTGCCTTTTTAAGGTGTTTTTGTGTGCTTTACAAGCCTTGCTGGAGGCTTCGAACTTGTGCCGATAGGATGGTAATTCTCATTACTTGCTGCTAAAGCCAGGCTGAAACCTCATTGTTTTTGTTTCCTAGAGAAAGAGCTAAGATCACATCTGCGTTTTATAAAAGCTCCTGAATAGTTGCTGATCAACAACAACCAGCAGCCAAAGCTTTGCCTCCAGAAACTTGCATTGTTTTTCAGTTGGAGTTGCTAGATACAGCGTCCTCGTAAAAAGTCTGGTTAAGTCATTTAAGCCCTGAAACCGAGAACTATACTTCCCTGAACAGCTAGCATTAATTGTTACTAATGAGAATTATATCCAAAGGATTCTGGACTGCATTGTTCAGCTTCCTTTGTTCTTTAAAGGATACTCATCATCGAGCTAAAATCCACCAGTACTTCTAGGTTTTGTGCAATGAGGCTATTTCAAGCTAGTAACTCAGATGTAAATGGGGAAAAAAAAATACATTTTCCTATCTGTTTCCCGGGTTTTATTATAAGATCTGTGCAGGCATTAAAACAGTAGGGCAGGGAGCCGGAGCTGCGATGGGAATTAAGAAGTTGCATGTGTAAAAGCATTCACGCTACTCGCTATTGGCCAGGGCTGGGGGAGGACTCATAAACCTCGCTGCGATTTCTCCAACCAGCACATGGGCTGAATTTTACAAGGACCGGGCTCGCAGTGAACCAGAAGAGAGGCAGCTGATGCCTGCTGCCCGGGGGCTGCCGGAAACCCCCACCGCACCGAGTGCCGGGGGCTCGCAGCGCAGGGGGCCCTGGGGCTGCCGGGCTCTCCTGGCAGACCGCTTTTCCTGACCGTTCCTAGAAGTTGGAGTTGTTCTCCTGCCCCAGCTCAGTTTTTTGTGAATTACAGCAAGTCCATCAGCCCCCCTTTCCCAGCTGTTGGTGCTCCTTGCACTTTTTCATGTACAGGCACCACAGGCACAGTTTGGGGTCACACACAGCTCAGCGCATGCATAGCTCTGATGCCAGAGCAGATGATCCAGCTGGTTGTGCCCTTGGGCACCCCAAGGCAAATGAGCAAGTGGTGCCATAAATCCCCCACAAATTGTTGGATTAGGGGGAATGATTGGAAAAGTGTTCAGGTGGGCTTGGAGTGTGGGAGCTCAGGGGTAGGAACCACTCACAGGACAATGGGGCTTCTTCAGGGGATACCAGTTGGGGACTGAGGATGGAGGGGTCCCCAGATGCCCTCTGCCACCTCAGACTTCTCTACTCACAGCGCTTCCATCTCGCTCCATGCTGGTCCCTGTTGGAAGCAGGGCAGAAGTAGGTCTATAGCTAAGTGCTGTGGCAGACTGTTCCGCACGCTGGCATTGATTTGTCCTCCCCCAAACACATGGTACACATACACATGGCTGTCACAGAGAGGGGAGATAAGAGCTTCTCCTGCAGCAAGCAAATTGCAGCCAGTTATGCTGGGAAGGCATGGAGGAGGTCACTGGGTTCCCTTCCTCCCTAGCCCGTGGGAACCCCTGCACTCCCAGGTACCCGCAGCTTATGATAACGTGGGATGGGGTTCAGCAGGTCCAAGCTGCCTACAGTGCCCACAGGCAGGCTGCAGTTTGTCCCAGCTTTGCTCCCCAAGATAACTTGGCCACCGTACAGCTAGATCTTCGCAGTACGTTGTGCAGGTGGTCAGAAAAGCCTTGGCCATGCTCAGTTCACTCCCCAAGGAGCACTTTACACCACGTTGTGCTATCCTTGTCCTATAGCACTGCACATGCTATCTAGCAGGGATCTAGTGGGTTTGCACTTAGTCACGAGCTGCTTGGTAGGCTCCTACCAGAAAAAGCAGCATTTTTTCCATCTCCACTGGAGACTCTTGAAGGTGTCCAACCTGTAACACTGATCTAAAAGGCTCTCTTAGCATGGTGTTCTTCAGGCAGATCTCCAGTGTTAACAGTCACTACCTTTTCCCCAAATGCAAAGTAGCACCTACCTATTGATTTCAAGAACCCTGCGAAGATAGCTTACGTGATGGATCCATGAACCCCTCGTTGAATTGCAGACCTGCTGAACACTCACAGAAAGCTAGGGGTATAAGAGTGAAAATAACCTCCCAGGTGAAGGATATTGCTATGGCCAAGATATAATCTCTGAGGGCTTATCTTCAGGTGGAACTAGGAAGATATGGAAAGCCATACATTTCAAAATGGGATGGGAAGAGCTCAGCACAGCACAGCTGCAGGACACAAAGTAGCTGGCTCAGGACAGGGAAGATCTTTGCAGCGCGGAGCAAAAGCTGAGCCCCGGGTGGATTGGGAGTCAGAAAGGACAGCAAGAGCTGTGGGTTGGATTTCACAAGGAGCATTGTCCCCTTCAGGGAGAGCAGCAATAGGAAACGCATACATTTTTTTCCACCGTGGCGCAGAATTAGACTGCGAGGAACTGTAATTTGGGACTCACACTGAGGCAGGGGAACAATTCACCACCCTGCCGGCTGGGATTTTCTTCATTCCTCCTTGCCCCTAAAACACCAGTCACCAACCTGCGGGCAGGAGGGGAGCCCCCACCCGGGGCAGACACCAAGCGAGCCCCACTCCTTTTAAAACCAGCCTCACCCCTCCGCAGGAAAACTCCCCAAACCCGCGATCCCAAAGCCGGGGAAGCCTCGGGGAGCCCCCGACCCCCTTGGGCGCGGGCGGCTCCGCGCTCAGCGGCGCGCCCCGAGTTTCCCACGGAGCAGCCGCTGCCCGGCGCGACCCGGAGGGGCCGAGCCGTGCCTTGCCGAGCCGTGCCAAGCCAAGCCAAGCCAAGCCGAGCCGAGCCGTGCCTTGTCGAGCAGTGCCGTGCCGGGGCGGTGCGCGGGGGCCGCCGGTGTCCGCGGAGCCGGGGCGGGGCGCGGGGCGGTGCGGAGCGGGGCGCGGTGCGGGGCTGCGACGGGCACACGTGGTGGCTCAGCCCCCCAAAAAGGCTTCTCCCGGCCGGCGGCAGCGGCCACTTCGGAGCTCGGCCCCCAGAGGTGGGTCGGGGCGCAGGGGGCTGGCTGCGGAGCGGCGCCGCCCGGCCGTGCGGGGAGCCCTACCTGGCGGCACGATGAACCTGACGGCCGAGAGCCACCGCGTCCCGCTGAGCGACGGGAACAGCATCCCGCTGCTGGGGCTGGGCACCTACGCCGACCCCCAGAAAGTAAGTCCGGGTCCCGGGGCAGGTGGGGAGCTGCCCTCCTGCTCCTTTCCTCTCCTCCCTCCTGCGCCCGGCTTGCCTTTTGCTCCTTTCCGCGCAAACTTTAAAGGAGGAGAAAAAAAAAAAAAAAAAAAAGGAAAAAAAAGCCCGACTTCTGTTAAGAGCACCGGCAACGCGCAGAGGAGGAAAGGTGGGAAGAAGGGGAGAAATATCCCAAAATCCTGCCGATCCCAAAATCCTTGCGCCGCGCGCCTCACCTCCCGCACCGCCGCCGAGCTCCGCGCCTGGGGGCGCACGGGGAAGGGGCTGGGGGCCGGGGACCCCCGGGGGCGCCGCGGGCAGCGGGAGGGGGGCAGCCCCCGGAGAGCATCGGGTCCTCGTAGGGGGTCCCCGATTCCCCTTCCCGGGTGGGGGCGCCGCGTTTCGGCTCCCCCGGGCTGGCCCCGCTGCCTACGGCGCTGATAAGACGAGGGATTTCGGACCGTCTCGCAGCTGGCCCCGCCACTTTCCAAGGAATGTTCCTGAAACAAAGACCCAAATTCCTGCATCCTGATTCCTGCGGCTCCCACAGCTGACTGCCAGCGGCCAAACCACTCTCAAATACTCTGCATCTCTCGGTTTTGTGCGTCCCGGGCAGGCATCCCAGCTAACTGTGGCACTTTTCTGCTGCGTCAAGGCCGTGGAAGCACACCTGATGCTCCTTCCCTCCGCGCACCTGGGAGCACAAAGGCAATTCCCTAGCAGCTACCTTTCGTTCTCCTAAGCAGACTGATCTTTCAGCAGCGCTTTTGTGTTTGTTTCTTCGAAGGGAAGCGATAGAGGTAGTGTTGCCAGCCCCCTTCTTGTGTAATAGTATCAGAGTTGAGATGCAATGTTGCATGCATGACTCTGCATACCACGAGGTATTTAAAAATACCTTTTTTTTTTTCCTTTTTTAAGAAAATTCTTGATTAAAGCCATTTAACAACCGCTAAATGTGGCATATTAATGTCAAAGAAGACCCTCAAGAAACGCTGCTGCAGGCAGTGGATGAGTGATGCAGAAGGGGTGTGAGAAATCCCCAGAGCTGCCGGTATCCTCGCTTAGCAGCGCCGGTTCACCCAGGGAGAATCAGTGGGAATCTGCAATTTCAGAGGCTGGGCACCGTCCCCCACATCACTAGAGTTTCTGGAGATATTTTTAGCTAGTGATGTTCCTTGAATAAGGGTTGGCGAAACAAAATTAAACTCTCTAACACGAGCTTTAATGTACCACAGCCGAACGTTGCATAATTCGGTGACAAAACAGTTCCGAGCAAACTTGGAGCCGCTCTTTGCAGTTCTGCCTGCCATGCCCCCAGCCTTTGGGTTGCTGACAAAGGGGTAACCCAGCCTCACCGTGCTTCCCACCCACAGCCTGGGTGAGCTGTGGCATTATTTAGCTAAAGCTGGCTGCTTAGGAGTGGTAGGAATCTGCCTGAGTCCCAGCCGGGAAGCAAAGGGATTCCCCATCCAGGGGCAGCCTTCTCGGCTAAGAGTAACCCTGCTAAGAGTTCACTCTGCAGAAGGTCCGATGTCCTGAAAGCACCACGGCCGCAGTCCCGCTCCTTCTGCCCCAGCCCTGCAAAATCCCATGTCCTCCTTTGCCCGCCTGCGGGTCAGAGTGACAGGCAAGCCCTCTCTGTGGAGCTCGTCCAGCAGTCATCAATCATTTTTAGGTGCTGGTGGTTTCCAGCCGAATCAGCCTCTGGGAACTGGCTTTCTGCAGTGTGCCTCCTTTGTTTTCTGGGGACAGGACAATGCAGACATGGCTTTGCTATGGCAACCCGAATTGAGAGCAATTGGGACCCCTGCGTAAGGACACCCTCCGTGGGGATGAGTGCGTGTCCCAGCCACCCATTCACACTCCCCCCACATGTCTGTAGGAGTTTAATTCTCTGAGCTGTCTCCCTTGCACATTATAAACGTGTTAGAAAGTTGTGAGCAGGAGGAGGAGCTGAGAAGAGGTAGCACGAAGCACTGAGAATTCCCTTGCAGAAGTCTCCTTTTCTCAGGAGACCAGGTGAAACACTACGTGTTGATCCGGAGGCGCTGCAGCCCTGTGCTAGGATTAGGACAGTGTGTTTGAGTCGGGGAATGTGCCAGGGAGGGCAGCTGGGGAAACGTGGTAGCAGGGCACTGCTGGATTTGTTGCAGGATTGTTTGCAGCTGCTGGCTGGTGATGGGGCAGGGCAGTTAAATGGGTCACGGCTTAGAGCTTGTCCATCCCCAAAAAAATGCTTTGCCAACGGGAGGATGGGGGGCTTCTGTTAAGGTCTTGCCATGGCAGCGAAGTGTGGCTGAGCTGGGACAAGCTGCTCTGCTGAGTGCTGACTTGTGCCTGGCGCACCTTCCACCGGGATGCCTGGCAAGGTTTCCATCCTGTTCCTCTTGCCTAGAGAGTTGAAAGGGATTGTGGCAACAAGGGACAGTTTCAAGGTTTACCTTAGCGAGCAAGGCTATAAACTAGCACTGACATGTTTCCCTTAAAGCAGTTAGCTGTAGCCTTTTGTGGCCGAATTGCTTCAGAAGCTGCATCTGAGCCACCCGTTCGCCAGCGGTGGGGGCAGACAGCTGGTGGAAGTCGCGGTGCCAGCCGTCCCGGGCACGCTGTTTCTGCTCATGAGTCAGATCTCCGCGACATGTAGCCATTTCACGCTTTGATATGAAACGCAGAGCCGCTCACTTGTCAGATTATTCATCTTGCTCTTGGAGGCAGACTTTTTTTTTTTTTTTTTTTTCAAAGGTTATTCACCCTGGCACCTCCGTGTCAGAGCAGCTTGTCCAAAACAAATCTGTTTTCTCAATCTGGCGCTGTAGCCCAGTAGCTCGTAACAAGCCTGGAGCGTTCTTCCTGAAGTGCAGGAATGCGCCCGCTGGTTAAGCAAACCAGGCATATCTAGCTAGCCACGGAGAGGGAAAGCTGTTCCTCTGATGGCTGGTTACAAGGAAATAGAGGCAGGAGGCCAGCTTTCATGTTTCGGGCTTTGTCTGGGTAAACTGCACAGCAGCGCGTTCAGAATTGAAATGTGTCAGCAGCTCAGCTTAAATAACTTAATTATTCTCCTAAAGACTACTTCGGAAGATAAGTCATGCTTCTGCAGTTGTGAAACATCAGACAGAAAAATAGAATCTGTTGGCTGAGGCTTGGTCTTGTGCACGAGCTTACTGACTCAATGAAGCACATCGCTCGGCTGGAGCAGAGCTGGCTGCTGGGGAAGAGGGCTGCTTGACAATCAGGTTACTTTGTTGAAAGCTTTTTCCCCTCACTTAAAGGAGAGCTGCTCTTCTGGCTAGATACGGGTTGAATTAATTACTCGAGACTAAAACCACCCATAGCACAAAGTTGGGGGTTGCTTTTTGTCTTATTCTCCTAGCACAGCAGGAAAATGCAAAGAATCCACTTGCTATCAGCTCATCTCCTACCAGAAAGAAAAGAATCTTCATTGGGTCATAGAATTAGTGATAAATCTGGACTGATAGTTAAAAAAGCACTTAGAAAACACTTTTGCTGCTCTAAGTGGTGTTTCCTATTCTTATTTCCAAGGAATGCTAATAGCTGTCTTACCAAAAAGCTTAGTTTGCTTTTTGGCGCAGATGCCAGCGCACTGAAGTTGATTTTGTGCTCTCCTTGCACAGGGAAGGAAACAAGTAAAATCTTGCCTGCCATAAATTTGTCTAGCAAGGATGGACTCAAGCAAAACACTGAAAATCCCAGTCACTGCCTCATTTTCTCTCTTCCCTTCTCCCAATGTCCTTTCCCTTCATGGATTTGGGAGGGAACCACAGCGGGAGCATGGTGTTTGGACTATCAAGGGCCTCCAGATGGCTTTAAAATTTGAGGTCAATCCTGCCTCTGTCTGGCTGCATGGATCCTCCTGGCAAAGCCCTGAGCATGCGGGACTGGCTCTGCCAAGGCTGCGCATCCAGCTTTCCCTCCCCAATGGCCTCCAAGCTTTTGACCCTATTCTTGGGGGTATTAAACACCTTAAAGGGGGAAAAGTGGGAGAAGGCAGCCCCAGGGGGGCCGGAGGGGAGGGTGGAGGAGGAGGACAGCCCCCACATGTCGAGCCTGTAGCATCACCCCATGTGAGTGCAGAGCTGGATCGGGGGGCTCGGTTCCCAGTGCCACCAGTGAGTGGTACCCACACCCGGCGGGCAGTGGATGAGGTGCGGATATGAGCAGGCTCAGAGGGGAAAGGTGCTAAAAACGCTCCTAAATCCTGGAAATCCTACGCCTCGTTAAAACTGCCCTTACGCCTGCTTCACTTCATAACTCATCCCTGTCAACGCGGCTAAGATCACCAGCCCTGGTGCCTCCACATAAATACTGGCTGTCTCCCTGGAAGGTCAAGGGGCCTTGGCCGCACATCCCCTCCTGCCTTCCTGTTTTGACTGAGGGAGGAGAGGGCTCGGAGGGAAGGTTGTAGCAACCACACTGTACACAGGCACTGCTTCTGAAACATAAGATTGGGCAAAGCGCTCAAGAATAGCACTGGGTGAGGGCCTTTGGCAAGTTGTGACTCTGCTAAAAATGAGGTTCTGAGGTAGCCAAATCCATTCATAAATTGGAAGCAGTTTTGTGGAATAGTTTCAGGCAAAACAAATGGCAAAGCATTTCATTTTGGGCACTGGCAGTACAAGCTGAGGAATCAAAGGATTATTAAAGCAGTTGGAGGGAGCAGTTGCCTTACCCCGAATAGCCCGCTGGTTAGGGAGCCCACATGGGCGGTGGGAAACCAGATTCAGTTCTCCCCACCACCTCCAGGGATCAGATTCTTATCACACCACCCAGGGAAATAATGCGATCGTGGGGTATGCGGTAGCTTGAGGGGGGCAAGAAGAACCATGCACACGTTGAAGAGGGAGGAGCACCCGTCCCACAGCCCAGTGGCTCTGGCTGCTGAAGGGCTCTGTGTGATTTCTTGCCAGGCAGGAGAGACCCGTGCCTGAACCCCTAACTGCCACAAAGTCACCCTCGTGAGTGTGAGCCTGGCTTTTGCTTAAGAAGGGATGGCTGGTTTGAATTAGGGAAAGGAAAAGTTCATCCAGGCCTCCCGCATCCGATCTGAGTGACCAAGTGAAAAGTCTTTTTTGGCACCCTGAGCTACTTTCTACACCCAAGCTAGAAGCTGAACAGAGTAATTTTTTGCTGTATAGTCCCAGTAGCCCCTAGTGCTCTCGTAGGATCTTTTATGCCAAAAATGTTCCTCGCATGAGGGTGCACACACAAATTATTTCAATCAGCCCTCATGGTGTGGGCTGCATCTCTGCTGCAGGCTGCTCTTCGCTGGGGCTGGCCGCAGGCAACCTTAAAGCCAAAAGAGGTATCAGTTAACTTGTCCCCATGGTGAGATACCTGGATCTCTAAGCTGCAGTACAGGGAGATTACACATGATTTAATTCTCTTTGTTTTCCTCCTGGCCATCAGCAGCTTCTGAAACATGATCAGATGAAGACAGCAATGATAGCAGGTGACTTGTAGAGTCACCTGGCTTGACCCAAATCCATGAAATGGATGGGGTATTGAAATTCCCAGGCAGCAGCGATATCTAAGATCTTCGCAGTTGGGTTGAAGCTTAAAGGCTTCCACTTCCTGATCTCTTCTCTATTAATTTCTCCTCCAAATCCAAGCTTTCTTCTTCATCCCAAGGCAAACCTCCCACTCTGCTACAAGATTTTACTTGAAAGAAGTAATAGAGGTAGAAGCAGGAATTGCCATAACATGCACATGTCCTTACAGCCTTAGTTTACTTCTCACAGCACACTATTAAACAATAAAAAAAAGTACCACAGCCCTATTAACATGAACAGTAGCACGCAAATATGTATGTGAACTCAGAGTACCTGGAGTATGAAGTATTACCTCTGTAATGAACCTGCACAAAATCACCACAGATGTAGGCCAGTGATACATTTTGCCTTTTTTTAGCCTTAAAAAAAGTATCAGGAACCCAATTTGAAAAGAGCTCGGGGGAGTCAGCTGACACACTTGGCTACGGACTGTCATATTCATGCCCTGAACTTAAGCAGTAAATAAGCTCCCAGAAGAAAACTTAGTAAATAAATAATAATAGATAAATTGTGGGGCCATATTCCCCTAGCAGCATTTCCAGAGGGCATCGTGCCCCTTTACAGTCCCTGCTGGTGACCACTGCTGGCTTTCTCAAGCCGTTTGCTTTCTGAGCAGCAGCATTTCCCCATGGGTATAATCGACCTTATCCCCAGGGAGCAGCAGAGACACGCTGCCTCTCAGGGCTGGGATTTCCAAGGCATCTCTCAGGGTCTCCGAGGACATCCTAAAGCCACACTCCCAAGCTGAGACCCACACACTAGAAGCAAAGGTGGGAGGAAAGAGGCACATTACTGCAGCCCGGGGAGAAAGCCATGCCTGAGCTGCTCTACATCCACCAAGACAGCTCCTTGCTTGCCTATGAATAAACCATTAGCCTAGCCTTCAGGCTGAACAATATTTACCCCGAAACTATGCTTCTGTAGCCAGATCAAAGTTATGACTCAGTTGGTTTCCCACTTGCAGGACTAGACCCTACCCTAGCCATTCTGCTTGCAGCATGCAAGTGGCACACCTCACCTTCGGTTATGGGCAGCAATGCCCTCATTGCTTAATCTCTCAGATTTTGCTCCTTATTCCTCGATTAAGTCACAGTTACTGGCAAGACCTGGTTGCCAAGAGTGGATGAAGGCAGCATTTCTTGGTATTTGGTCCCCAGATGCCGGGATGAGGCAGCAGCAGGTGCCAGCAGAACAACATGGCTCTTGGGCAGGAGAGCAGCCAATGGTTTGGAAACTCGATCAAAAGCCCCGTAAGTAAGAAGTGACAGGAGAAGGAGTCTGTGCAAGGCTTCAAGAAACTGCAGTGACTCTGGGCTATGTTACCACCTTAATCCATCCCTGCTTTTTGCTACACAGATGGCGAGTATGCCAGAGCATGAGGGACGAACGCTTAAGGCCCTGCTTTCACGGGCTGTCCTTCTCATCACAAATAAATGAGGGTACCAAGTAGAAAAATGCACAAAATCAAACGGTTTTCAAACAAATCCTGCTTTCATCACTGACTTTTGCTAAAAATCTTAAAGTTGCATAGCACATTTTTTATTTCCCTGTCATTTATACTTTAATGGCGTATTTGCCACCAACGAAGAGCAGAGTTCATTTATCTTGCAAATAATCAGAGCCTTTTCCACTCTGCCATACAACTTTCCTGCTCTGCAGCTGGAACAGTCTTTCTACACTCCCATGCCTTCAATGCTTTCTCAGCCGTGACCTCTCCTCCCCCTGCCTGCTACCACCTCTTGACGCCTCAGTTCCTGCTACCTCCCTGTAATCTCATGTTATACAATGGAACAGTTTTGGCTTGCATAAATGCAAGATCGCATCTCTAACTCATTAAGAAAGAAAAATTAAGTCATCTAATTATATATATATATATATATATATATATAAAAGACCTGTTAATCAGAAAAGCCAGCCTATTTTTTTCTGATATGTGGCAAGCTCAAAAGCTACCTTTTGCACAAGATCTATCCTTTTACTGGTGAAGTCAGATTTGACAAAATGACTTATCACCCTCTGTCAAGCTGGAGAAAAGATTCTTGCACATAGCTTTCTTTACAATGTAAGCTGTGTTTTTATGAGTTTTATTTGCACAAAGCTCTATTTTATTGGCTCTAAGTGCTGAATTCACAGAATTGCCTGTTTGTCTTTCTCTATCTTCTCTGCTGAAATCTCTATGGTTCTTAGTTTCTATGAATCCCGCAGCTTACAAGAAAACAAACTGATAGTATGACTAATCTCTGCTTCATGCCAGTGGCTTCTGTGGTGTTTCCAGCTCTGAACACGATTAGCGTCTAATCATATGTGGCAGATTAAAAGCTTCATTCACTGAAACGGTCAACATGTGAAATGCCTGATGGGAATAGACCTAGTCTCAAGGAAGAAGGCAAATGAAAGACTGACTTTCTAGCTACAAAGTTCATCAACCTATGGAGCAAAACGGCCACAGAATCAGTAGTTGCAGAAAATGGTAGGTTTCTTAGTTTGCCCTGATGAGCAGATGGCATCACTGGTAAGTCAGAGTGACTTAGCCCCCCACCCTCAAACATGAACACGCCTTAAACTACGGGACCAAGAGATGCATATCCCCCTTGTGCAGGGCGGATGACCCAGGCTGATGAAGGTGTTGACAGCTAGATAATTGCCTGGCCCTGGTGCAGCACTGCCTGTGTAATCCAAGTGGAGGGGCTGGCTCTTGCAGCCAACCTGGCACGGCTTCACTTGGCTCCTGGAGGCGGCACCGACACACTGCCGGAGCGCTCCGGGGGGAGAAGTTCCCAGAGCAAGGCGACATTTAGGAGATGACAGCTTTGGCTGGGAGCTGGTACAGCTCTCGGACGGTGGATATCAGATGCTAACATCACCCGCTGAGCTAGATGTCTGGCTGTGACAGAGGGTGGAACTGCATTTAATCGGTCCAGATGCAAAACTAATAGAAGGTTAATCCAGATAAGCTTTTAAGGACGGTAGCACTACCCAAAAACAGTCTTAAGGATTCTTGTTTGAAAAGTAACCAAACAGGAAGCAGACCTTTTCCGTTCCATAGCTGCGCACGGCAGTGACGAGCACGAGCTGTTTCAATACATCCCTCTTCCAAAAACTACAAAGCTAGCTGTTACCAATGCAAGAATATGCAGCCCAAATATTGACCAAAAAAAAAGATTACTTTTTCTCTTTCTCTGGCTTTGTCAAGATGCTGGATTTTTAACCCTGCCCAAGAGCCATAGGGAAAGCCCTTCTATGTAAATAAAAGTTCTGCAGACTGCTTTACAGAAGTGGAGACAGGGAATCGCCAGCATTGTTGAAGAGAGTGGAAAAACTGAACCCCTACAAGTGAGTCATCTGAATTAACATGACTGAAAGATACACTTTTTGGCAAGAACACTTAGAGCCCAATTTTCCAGGCAAACCTGCTCCATTTTCTGAAACGTCCCTGAGTGACTCCATACGTTAAACGTGGCCGCGCACTCCCACGTGTCCCCGGTGCCGTGCGGTTCCCCGAGGAACAGCGTGAGCATGTTCTTACAGCTCATGCGGGAAGCGAACATCTGGGCTGCGTCTTCGGTTGACCCAGGAGGCCACATTTGTCAAAACTTGAAAAAGCTGTGCAGAAAATGCCTCTTTAAGCTTCATCAAAGCCAACTTTTGTTGGTTCAGCTAACTAGGTGGTGGAATTCCCCAAGCTTTACATCTGCCTTCACAAACGTTTCTGCCAACTGGTGCCAGAAACCTCTCCCCTTTAACTCTAGGAAATGAAGTGGAGGAACTACTGGCAATCTTTGCTTTCTCCTCTGCTATTGCACAAGCTGGTGCTTCATCCTCCCCTAGTACCTCACACGTCCCTGGGATCACATTTCTTGCTTGAAGGACGTTTAGCATCCACCCTTGCAGTCAGATGTGTGCTTTCTAGGGCTGGATGGCTGGACATCGTGTGCTCCAGCTCTACAGGAAACTGTCCCAGTACACCCCGCTGGCACTGCGAGCATGGGACCCCATCATTTTCTTGGTTTGCTTTAATCCTCTAACTGCTTAAAACTGGGGCATGGCAGCCCTTTTGCTTAGGCTTGCCTTAAGTGAAAACTTGCAGCGATCCTCAAGCTGAGGATTCTGCAATCAAGTGGTAAGAAAAACTCCAGCAGCCTCTGCCAGCTACAATAATAAGGCTTTCCTGAACATAGCTTTGGCTAAATCCTAGAATAACAGTGTCACAGGAATTCTAGAAATGCTAAATCTGCAGTTATGCAATCTAGGTTGCTGCTGTTCAGGCAGTCAGGCCTCAGGCTTCAGACCACTGACGGGACACCACACCAGACAAAAAGGCAACCCTTGTCCACGCCCATTTGCAGCACGACCCGAGGCAGAGCGCATCGCCGTTCACCACATCTACTGTGGGTGCATTTGCCATCCTCTACTTCCTAAGGCAATGCAGTGTGTGCTATGGAGCATAGCCCCAGGCCAGCACAGCAGCCCCTTGCTGTGCTCCCTGCCTCCGACCTCAGCTCTACCTGCTTTTGCAGAGATCCCTTCTCTGGGTTTTGCTTCCCGGATGGTGGCTGCCAACACTTCCGGGGGAGGAAAGCCAGATTTTGCTGTGTACAAGAGAGAGAGATGTGCTGGCGGTTGCGTTTTCCAAGAAAGAGGTGTACGGTACAGCTTCTCCTTTACAAGATTAAACAATTCTAAGAATGTACCCTTGTGCAGCTTATATCCTCTGGCTTTGTAAACTCAACCTGCACTTTCCTGTAATGCCTTCAGTACACGTTTTCTGTGCTCTGTTCCTGACATCTTCAGGCTAGTCCTCTTTGTCAGTTTGTCCGGAAAACAGGCAAATGGAAATAAGCAATTGGGCTTCTAGAAACTTGCATAAGAATCTGTGTGTGAGTGCCGAGCTCTGGCAACGGAGGCGCTGAGCCCAGGAATGTACCTACTTTCTCCTTCCTGTATTTAGCTGACTAAGATTCCTAAACAGCAGCTCCACATCTTAAATTATAGGTTAGCACTGGAGCGCTTAGCCCACAGTTTGGATCCCTTGTGTAATTCAGCTGCAGCTCGAGTCAGATTTTTTTCCAGGAGTTGGCCCTGTCTTTCCCAACACCTCAAGCTCTTCCTCCCAGGATCACCAGTCCCAGAGAGGGTACTGGATACCGCTCACTGTCCACGTGAGGTGCTCGGGGCTAAGGTAAACTGCTCATCCCATCAAGTGTTGCTTCCTCAGCTCCCATGCACTGCCAAGGTGAGGGCAACTGTAAATCAGCGTGCATGAAACAAGCAGAGAAGCACGTGGGAGCCTGAGTCAGACTGTTTACCGTATGCGCTAATAAGTTAAAAATGACAATAGCGGTATTAAGACATTGAAAAGTACTGCCATAGGAGCTGTTCATGTGGTCTTGCAAGATTGTTATCTACCACTGATATGTCCTGTTAGCTTTGTCTTTGGAGGTAACCATAGTCCCTCTCTATCAGCTATAAAGTAGGTAGAAATTCCTGACCAGAAAAGGATGCTACAGAAAAGGCAGACTGACTGGCAGGAAGCTGGAATGCAACACTAAATCGCAGTAATGAGCTGGACTACCCCAAACACTGCTAAGCAAATATTGTCCTACTTGAGAGACAACAGCAAAATTTGTGGGTATGCCTGCACCAAAAAAAAATACACACACGCACACACACACACATATATATATATATTCTCCTGTGGCTTGATCACAGTGCAATCCTGAGCAAAACTGAAGCTGTACATTTTCTGTGGTAGGGAGAATAATTTCTGACAAAATGGGATGTGATGAAAGGTGTCTGGAATAAACATTAAAAAAAAATTGATGGTCTCAGAGGAAAAGAGAGCATACCCTTTCAGACAGGCAGAACTGATGAAGCACATTGCTTTTTCAGACTCATAAAATGTGGTAACTGGCCAGTTGGCTACTTCGTCTATGGAGAAGGGGCCAAATTGCTTCTTCCTTTCTTTCAGTGAAGGTGCAGATCTGAGCCTGCTCCCCACATCCTTCTGCCAGATTTTATTTACCGTAGAACCTGAAGGAAGTGATTGCTGGTTTAATCTGTCATGCGTGCCAGTAAATCAGTAGGTTTACAGGCTATTGACTGATAAAGGGAAAAAGCTGCGTGTGTTGTTTCTTTAAACTGTATGATCTTTAAAATAACTTAGATGCTATTAAAGGTGTTCTTAGTGAAAGAGCAAATGGTTCTAGTTAACTGACCAGTTTTTCTTTTATCAGAGTAGTTGTAGTAAATTTAATACTCTTCTGGCACACAGTCACTGAATGTAACAGCACTGCAGATAAAATCTGGCTTACAGTGTACAAGTGGTTATAAAATTCCAGTTCTAAAATAACAGCCCTTGATCAAAGTAGCACGGTTGCAGGGCACACTGATTAGAAACTGAAGCATTCATTACAGCCAAGGATCAAGCACACCTCTTATCTACGGCTAAATAAAATGTAATAAAGAAGTAAAGATTTGTCTTAAAGCCAAAGCCTCCTGAATGACTACTGACAAAGCACGAAGGTTTACAGCACTGAGACATTTCAGTACCTTGTCAGGCATTCATACTGCTCAAAGCCTAATCCCCACTTACTTGGGAAATGGTGCAAGAACACACAGAGGCATGCATGAGGGGAACAGACAGCATGGGCAATCACATTGGCACCATACTTGCTGGTGGGATGCACCAACACCCCTAGGTACACAGCCCACGGTGGGGCTGCTGAGGTCTGGCTGCCCTGGTAGAGGTGAGCCACTGCCCAGCCCCTACACCCTTTACTCCACAAAAGACTGAAAATTGAGAAGTCTCAGGCTAAGCAGGTGAGCAGAGAGGAGAGACCCAGGCTTGCACCTTCTCTGCTGGAAAGACAGATGAGCCGTGGTGATCTGAGTCATCCTGCTTTAATACAGTCTGTCAAAAACAATGGAATAAGATACGACACTTAAGGCAGCACTTCTAAAAAGTGGCATAAACCACAACATAACTAGCCTGTGCAACTCATCAACGCAGTTTACCACAGCCCATTACTGCAGGCTTTGGAAGGATTAGAGATGTGAAATGCTAGAGATGATAGTTTCTCCATCAGAATGAAAATAAACATACAGTATAAAGTTTCCAGACTCGCAGATGTCCCAGTCCCAGGCCTTCAATAAAGGAGGGTTCAATAAAGGCAGAAATTTCCAAAAACCATTCCCTAGGTTCCCTTGCATTTTCATCTGAAACACCTTAAACCAGAGTCTGTCAGACATAATATACCACATCAGATGAAATGAACTAGCGCAATGAAAACATTTGTATTTAATGTAAACCCATCTCCAGCCCGTGGTAATCAAGGCGTGATCCAAAAAAAAAAAAAAAAAAAGCCTCCTCCAGCCCCTAAAGAATAAGATTAATCCTTTAATCCTTGAGATGGAGGAGTCTTTCATAAGATTATTTGTACAGATGTATATAAGTCCTATGCAGAAGATTAAGAAATACATACAGCTCTAACATAAACTAGCCAATTCAGCCAAAGGCAATTGAAGTAGCTGCAGCTTGCTCATTTTCCTCTGTTCCACCCTCCTGCTGAGCCTGCAGTGATACCCTTCTGTGGTATGTGACACTCTGCTCTTCTTTACCTACTCTTTCTGCTTCTCTTACTGACCAAATGGCCCCATTGCCTGAGAAAATCAGACAACTGAGAAAATCAGCAACTCAGTAATCAACTCAGAAATCCTTGCTTTGTGGAGTTTAGTTTACAGCTTGAGGAAACAACCAGGAGCTGTGCTCATGCCATCTGACAAGAGTGCAAGAGAGGTGAAGAAATCTTAGGATCAGGTCCTTAACCCATTTTTAGGCTTTTCAAGTAAAAGAAAAAGAAAGAAAGAAAAAAATAAAAAGAAAAGAAAGAAAAAAAAAAAAAGAAAGAAAGAAAAAAAGAAAGAGTTTTAAAACCTGTACTAAGGTAGTACGTCACTGTAATCAAAACGTTCTGGTTGCATACACACATATAACAGAAATCAGAGCTCTGAGGTTACTGTCAGCAGCACCTACAGGCTCGCGGTGCTCATGCCAGAGCTTTTCCTCTCTCAC